TCAGTCAAAACTGTAAAATTTTGGTCCTGGAAATTTCATCTTCAAAAACTGAAAATGGGACAGAGATTGGGACAATATGATTTTACAATTTTATTCGGGATTTTGACTTCCAGTACCCCAATTTGGTTTCATACCATCATCAATTGACTGACTAATTGGTTTCTGGGCAAAAATTTCATCTCATCTGTCAAATTTGTGTTCAGAAAATTTCATATTTGAAAATGGGACAGACTTTTGAAAATACAACTTTTCGTTTTGTTAAGCTTTCTGCTGTGGGCTTCCTCCGACCGAAATCAAACTTCCAGCACCTCTATCGTGTCATATGCCACCTATAGTTGACTTACTAATTGGTTGCAGGTGAGAAATTCAGTCAAAACTGTAAAATTTCGGTCCTGGAAATTTCATCTTCAAAAACTGAAAATGGGACAGAGATTGGGACAATATGATTTTACAATTTTATTCGGGATTTTGACTTCCAGTACCCCAATTTGGTTTCATACCATCATCAATTGACTGACTAATTGGTTTCTGGGCAAAAATTTCATCTAATCTGTCAAATTTGTGTTCAGAAAATTTCATATTTGAAAATGGGACAGACTTTTGAAAATACAACTTTTCGTTTTGTTTAGCTTTCTGCTGTGGGCTTCCTCCGACCGAAATCAAACTTCCAGCACCTCTATCGTGTCATATGCCACCTATAGTTGACTTACTAATTGGTTGCAGGTGAGAAATTCAGTCAAAACTGTAAAATTTTGGTCCTGGAAATTTCATCTTCAAAAACTGAAAATGGGACAGAGATTGGGACAATATGATTTTACAATTTTATTCGGGATTTTGACTTCCAGTACCCCAATTTGGTTTCATACCATCATCAATTGACTGACTAATTGGTTTCTGGGCAAAAATTTCATCTAATCTGTCAAATTTGTGTTCAGAAAATTTCATATTTGAAAATGGGACAGACTTTTGAAAATACAACTTTTCGTTTTGTTTAGCTTTCTGCTGTGGGCTTCCTCCGACCGAAATCAAACTTCCAGCACCTCTATCGTGTCATATGCCACCTGTAGTTGACTTACTAATTGGTTGCAGGTGAGAAATTCAGTCAAAACTGTAAAATTTCGGTCCTGGAAATTTCATCTTCAAAAACTGAAAATGGGACAGAGATTTGGACAATATGATTTTACAATTTTATTCGGGATTTTGACTTCCAGTACCCCAATTTGGTTTCATACCATCATCAATTGACTGACTAATTGGTTTCTGGGCAAAAATTTCATCTCATCTGTCAAATTTGTGTTCAGAAAATTTCATATTTGAAAATGGGACAGACTTTTGAAAATACAACTTTTCGTTTTGTTAAGCTTTCTGCTGTGGGCTTCCTCCGACCGAAATCAAACTTCCAGCACCTCTATCGTGTCATATGCCACCTATAGTTGACTTACTAATTGGTTGCAGGTGAGAAATTCAGTCAAAACTGTAAAATTTTGGTCCTGGAAATTTCATCTTCAAAAACTGAAAATGGGACAGAGATTGGGACAATATGATTTTACAATTTTATTCGGGATTTTGACTTCCAGTACCCCAATTTGGTTTCATACCATCATCAATTGACTGACTAATTGGTTTCTGGGCAAAAATTTCATCTCATCTGTCAAATTTGTGTTCAGAAAATTTCATATTTGAAAATGGGACAGACTTTTGAAAATACAACTTTTCGTTTTGTTAAGCTTTTCGTTTTGTTTAGCTTTCTGCTGTGGGCTTCCTCCGACCGAAATCAAACTTCCAGCACCTCTATCGTGTCATATGCCACCTGTAGTTGACTTACTAATTGGTTGCAGGTGAGAAATTCAGTCAAAACTGTAAAATTTCGGTCCTGGAAATTTCATCTTCAAAAACTGAAAATGGGACAGAGATTTGGACAATATGATTTTACAATTTTATTCGGGATTTTGACTTCCAGTACCCCAATTTGGTTTCATACCATCATCAATTGACTGACTAATTGGTTTCTGGGCAAGAATTTCATCTCATCTGTCAAATTTGTGTTCAGAAAATTTCATATTTGAAAATGGGACAGACTTTTGAAAATACAACTTTTCGTTTTGTTAAGCTTTCTGCTGTGGGCTTCCTCCGACCGAAATCAAACTTCCAGCACCTCTATCGTGTCATATGCCACCTATAGTTGACTTACTAATTGGTTGCAGGTGAGAAATTCAGTCAAAACTGTAAAATTTTGGTCCTGGAAATTTCATCTTCAAAAACTGAAAATGGGACAGAGATTGGGACAATATGATTTTACAATTTTATTCGGATTTTGACTTCCAGTACCCCAATTTGGTTTCATACCATCATCAATTGACTGACTAATTGGTTTCTGGGCAAAAATTTCATCTAATCTGTCAAATTTGTGTTCAGAAAATTTCATATTTGAAAATGGGACAGACTTTTGAAAATACAACTTTTCGTTTTGTTTAGCTTTCTGCTGTGGGCTTCCTCCGACCGAAATCAAACTTCCAGCACCTCTATCGTGTCATATGCCACCTGTAGTTGACTTACTAATTGGTTGCAGGTGAGAAATTCAGTCAAAACTGTAAAATTTCGGTCCTGGAAATTTCATCTTCAAAAACTGAAAATGGGACAGAGATTGGGACAATATGATTTTACAATTTTATTCGGGATTTTGACTTCCAGTACCCCAATTTGGTTTCATACCATCATCAATTGACTGACTAATTGGTTTCTGGGCAAAAATTTCATCTCATCTGTCAAATTTGTGTTCAGAAAATTTCATATTTGAAAATGGGACAGACTTTTGAAAATACAACTTTTCGTTTTGTTAAGCTTTCTGCTGTGGGCTTCCTCCGACCGAAATCAAACTTCCAGCACCTCTATCGTGTCATATGCCACCTATAGTTGACTTACTAATTGGTTGCAGGTGAGAAATTCAGTCAAAACTGTAAAATTTTGGTCCTGGAAATTTCATCTTCAAAAACTGAAAATGGGACAGAGATTGGGACAATATGATTTTACAATTTTATTCGGGATTTTGACTTCCAGTACCCCAATTTGGTTTCATACCATCATCAATTGACTGACTAATTGGTTTCTGGGCAAGAATTTCATCTCATCTGTCAAATTTGTGTTCAGAAAATTTCATATTTGAAAATGGGACAGACTTTTGAAAATACAACTTTCCGTTTTGTTAAGCTTTCTGCTGTGGGCTTCCTCCGACCGACAACAACTTTTCGTTTTGTTTAGCTTTCTGCTGTGGGCTTCCTCCGACCGAAATCAAACTTCCAGCACCTCTATCGTGTCATATGCCACCTGTAGTTGACTTACTAATTGGTTGCAGGTGAGAAATTCAGTCAAAACTGTAAAATTTCGGTCCTGGAAATTTCATCTTCAAAAACTGAAAATGGGACAGAGATTTGGACAATATGATTTTACAATTTTATTCGGGATTTTGACTTCCAGTACCCCAATTTGGTTTCATACCATCATCAATTGACTGACTAATTGGTTTCTGGGCAAGAATTTCATCTCATCTGTCAAATTTGTGTTCAGAAAATTTCATATTTGAAAATGGGACAGACTTTTGAAAATACAACTTTTCGTTTTGTTAAGCTTTCTGCTGTGGGCTTCCTCCGACCGAAATCAAACTTCCAGCACCTCTATCGTGTCATATGCCACCTGTAGTTGACTTACTAATTGGTTGCAGGTGAGAAATTCAGTCAAAACTGTAAAATTTCGGTCCTGGAAATTTCATCTTCAAAAACTGAAAATGGGACAGAGATTGGGACAATATGATTTTACAATTTTATTCGGGATTTTGACTTCCAGTACCCCAATTTGGTTTCATACCATCATCAATTGACTGACTAATTGGTTTCTGGGCAAAAATTTCATCTCATCTGTCAAATTTGTGTTCAGAAAATTTCATATTTGAAAATGGGACAGACTTTTGAAAATACAACTTTTCGTTTTGTTTAGCTTTCTGCTGTGGGCTTCCTCCGACCGAAATCAAACTTCCAGCACCTCTATCGTGTCATATGCCACCTGTAGTTGACTTACTAATTGGTTGCAGGTGAGAAATTCAGTCAAAACTGTAAAATTTCGGTCCTGGAAATTTCATCTTCAAAAACTGAAAATGGGACAGAGATTGGGACAATATGATTTTACAATTTTATTCGGGATTTTGACTTCCAGTACCCCAATTTGGTTTCATACCATCATCAATTGACTGACTAATTGGTTTCTGGGCAAAAATTTCATCTAATCTGTCAAATTTGTGTTCAGAAAATTTCATATTTGAAAATGGGACAGACTTTTGAAAATACAACTTTTCGTTTTGTTTAGCTTTCTGCTGTGGGCTTCCTCCGACCGAAATCAAACTTCCAGCACCTCTATCGTGTCATATGCCACCTATAGTTGACTTACTAATTGGTTGCAGGTGAGAAATTCAGTCAAAACTGTAAAATTTTGGTCCTGGAAATTTCATCTTCAAAAACTGAAAATGGGACAGAGATTGGGACAATATGATTTTACAATTTTATTCGGGATTTTGACTTCCAGTACCCCAATTTGGTTTCATACCATCATCAATTGACTGACTAATTGGTTTCTAGGGTTACAGAAAACTTCCGAATATATCATCAGACCTAAAGAACCCACCAAGGAGCACTATGAAGAAGGCGACTATCATCTTGAAATCCAGCTACACGAAACAAACCGAGCAAAGAAAGAGAGTATCGCGAGAAATCAATAACCGGTAACCGGTTAATAAGAAGTCTCCAGTACACAGCTAACCTTCCGATTCATAATACATTACTATCTAATTATTTGCTGTACATTTCAGACAGTTTTTGAACACTATCTTACTACTCAACTACTGTCGACAATTGACATTAAGTTTATGTTGGATTCAAGATTGATTTCAAGAGACAATTTTATATCATCATTTATTAGATATGGATTTATCAATAACAAGTTAAACGACAATATTAACTGTGTTAAAATTAAATTAAATTAAAACTAAAACGTAATCAAGGGACGTGTGGGGAAGTTAGTCAAACAGAGAGAATCCCATGTCGTCATCAGACTCTTCTTCTTCGGATTCTTCCTTGACTTCTTCCTTGGTCTCCTCGACTGCGGCTTCAGCTTCAGGGGCAGCAGCGACTGCAAATGCGGAGGGATCTGCCAAGAAGGCCTTGACCTGAAAGAAAATGTATGGTCAGATACCGAATGATATTTACACATCCAGAAGATATAAGCGCGTGCGCGCCGCGAAAATATTGCAGAGTTGCTGTGTAGCGGAGTAGTTCAAGAAGACAAATGTTCCCGCGCGCTCCAGTATCACTTGTGAACGATAGCGAGTGTGACCGATTCTGTCGTCCCACGGCAGCAGGAATGTGTCCTATAAATCAAGAGGCTTGCATATAATGAACATATTGACACGGGTGCAGAGTTGAGTCTGTGCGGAACCTAGTAGTTTCAGATCCTTGTTTAACTTGCCGTACAGCAAGGTCATCCACTACTATATTCAATATCTCCGATGTGACACCTTAGTCGTAAATAAACCCGAGAACTACAGCAAGTGTAGCCAAAAACTCACAGTATCAGCCTCAGGGAATGAGATGTCGGTCTCAACAGCAACAGCGAGCACGTTCTTGAACACGTTGATGATGGTGTGAGGTAGAGAAGCCTCAGTGCAGTATCCAATGGCCAGAGAAGCGGCAGCAACGTTGGCGATTCCCAGTTGGAACTTGCTCAACAGTTGTTCATCTGGGGTTTTCAGCGGTTAATTATAATTTCGGCTGCTAAATCCATGTCTAATTGTAAATAAGTTATAAGCTATAATTTAAGAAAGGTGACAAAATTGGATTTGAGAGATGGAATGTAGGATATATAACTAACCGGTGATGTCAAGAACCTCAGGAGCGAACACGGCACCATTATCGTAGATGTTCTCAACGATGAGACCGTAAGCGAAAGGCTTGACATCCAACATCTGGAGGAGTGTGGCCTCTGATGCTCCTACCTTGTCTCCCTTGGTGATCAGATGCACGTTTGACTGAGGGAGTGGTTCGTTAAGGGCAGTTCTTACACGTTACATGGATTCAATGTGAATACAATCCATACTGTTAATAAAAATTAACTATTACTTACGACGATCTCAATAGCACCCTTGGCGATCTTGGTGGAGATGTTAAGAGCCTGGAAGAAACTGGTCTTCTCAGGACCCATACCGGTGTTCTGTGCCTCGACAATGACGTCAACAGGGGCAAGAGCTCCAGCTCGAGCAGGGGCAGCTACCTGAAAGTTAATTTTGTGATTAGTGTCTCAATTTGTGTTACACTGTAAATGACCTCGTTTTCTTAAAGAAAGATTTGGTTTTTTTTCAGAAAACTTTTTGTTGTGAAGAAGAATTCGGCAGTATCCATGAAGCATGGTAGATTACTTATGGACCAGGGTAAGGGTTATGGCAGTACGATCCTTAAAACTTAAGTCCGCCGCAACACTTTTTCTATTACGCACAACAGTTTTCTATTATACGCATACAGTTTTCTATTATACGCATTACAGTTTTCTACCCTAATCTCTATTGTCAGTGGTCGGGCTTGGATAATATTCATTTCATATCAATTGCCACTGTCGTATTTAAGTCTTTGTGGATACATTATAAATTGAAGAACATTCAGTGTAACTTGTCAAAAAATTTAAGATATGTTGTTATGGGGTCGTTCACATATTACGTAATCAGCCGAGGGGGGGGGGGGGGGGTTCAAATGCTTACGGTTGGTTACGGGGAGGGGGGGGGGGGTTTTGTCGTTGATTACGTAAAACAAATTTTAATTTTTTACCGATTTTCGAAATACCAATTGGACAATTTTCGTTAATCAACATTTTCGTTTTTTAAACCAATTTTCGTTTATATTAGTAAGTGCTTTGCAATTATTTCATTCATTAATCCGTTGTGATAACTGCATTGAATATAATCTCCCCCTGTATGTAAATTTTGTGGACTTCAAGGCAGCTTTTGATTCCATCGACAGGAATTATATTTGGAAAGCTTTCAGTCATTATGGCCTGCCCTGTAAATACATTCGAATAATACAGGCATTCTTTAATGGAACTGTTAGTGCTGTTAGACACAATGGTGAACCATCAGAATGGTTTGAAGTAAGTTCAGGCAGTGGCCAAGGAGACATTCAGGGTCCCCCACTTTTTAATGTCTGCCTCAATGTGGCTGCTGAGAGAACAGAAAGCAACAAAGTGGTGTCCCACGGAGCGGTTCTTCAAAGATCTATCAGTCCGCTTGTTGATGATATCACTGTGTTAGATACAGACTATGCAGATGACATGGCTGTACTGGATAACAGCGAGGAAGGTCTTCAAGAAACAACTGACCTTTTGTGTATGTATGGTGCCCAGGGAGGTCTTAGAATCAATGGTAAAAAAGACTGAGGCTATGGTCATTGGTAAAGCAACCTCTCAACGGCCATACACGAAAGAAGCCACAGTGAACATCACTGTTGAAGACACGCCAGTGAAGCAAGTTAGTGACTTTACGTACTTAGGTACAATTATTTCCAGCGACGGTACTATCGACCGTGAGCTGTCAGCTAGGATTCAGAAAGCTTCCGGAGCCTTCAATCAACTGAGTAATATATGGAAAAACCGCAACATCCAGTCTTATACAAAGATCAGGATTTATAAGGCAGCGGTTTTGACAATATTGTTATATGGTAGTGAGGTTTGGAACACAACCAAAAAGCAGCTACATCGCTTTGAGGTGTTCCATCAGCGTTGCTTGAGGAGAATACTTAGGATAAGATGGCTCGATCGGGTTAGAAACACTGAAGTGCTGGAGCGTGCAAAGATAAATCCAGTAGACGTACATAGGAGCAAACCGCCTGCGTTGGTTTGGCCATGTCACCAGAATGCCAGACACTAGGCTTCCTAAGTACCTGCTTAACTGGACCCCTGCCCATGGGAGAAGATCTAGGGGCCGTCCAAGAAAGAACTGGAGGAAATGTTTGCTGGAAGATGCTGCAGCGTTTACAGGAAACACTGACATAGACCTAGAAGGAGCGAGCGAGATGGCTACTGACCGCAAACTTTGGAGGGAGATGATACGTCACAAACGAGAGTTCATTGGTGCAGGCCACTCGAACGATTGAGGAGACCTAATCAAGTATCTTCTAATTCTTTTAAATCTGAGGCATATATAATTGATATATCGAAAGGATTTTCCCTTTTTTACCACCTTACCATTTTGATTGATTTTACACATGACTGACATGTTTTAACTGGAGAAAGGGTTCGCACAGTGGTAGTTTTATAAACCACTTTTAATTTATTGACCTATTATACCTAGTGGTAGTTTTATAGACCACATTTAATTTCTTTACTTATTATACTTAGTATTTATTTTTGGTGACTGTATCACCCAGTTTTAACATTTGATAATTGTACAGTTTATTGACGACACATTGACTGAATGTTATTTTATATTCTAATTTATATTCTAGATATTTTATTTATTTTTCAACAGACGACAACTTCCTGTTTTTTCTTCTATATTAGTTACTCATATCTCTTTTACAGACTTTTTTACAAGGACATTGACAGATGATACTCACATTAGGCATTCATTATTGCATCTAAATTATTTCACTTGCATTAGGTTTAGAAATTTATTCTCTGGTTAACAGATTTCAAATGTTTAATTAATTTGTAGTATGACAGTAAGGTATATAAGAAGTTATTTAATTTTGCTTGGGTTATTATATTGACTATTGAGGTTTAATGATGATATGGAATTTGAATTCTATACAAATTTACACTATGTGGTTGGGGCATTTTGCATAGTAAATATGGTTACTACTCCTATATATCATATTATTTGATTGGTATTCGATTTCTGATTATTTCCCTAGGAATATGATTATTATATCTCAATTTAGCTTTAGGTAGGGTGCCCCGCTAAAAGAACTGGATTCTTCCAGGAAGCATCCCGTGCACAGACCTTGGTCTACATACATAATATTAAATTATTAACCATTCATTCTGTATGTGCACGAAAATTTATTTCAAAAAAAAAAAAAAAAAAAGTACAAATAAGTAAGATAGGGGGGTGTCTAATCTTGATTACGTAATATAGGAGGGGGGTTGGGTCTTGATTACGGGGGGGGGGGGGGGGTCAAACCTTGATTACATAATGTAGGGGGGGTTCGGTCTTGATTACGGTTGATTACGGAGGGGGGGGGGGGGGTAAAAATTTCCAAAATATTGATTACGTAACATGTGAACGACCCCTATGTAGTTAATAAATCATTGATATTCAATATTCTAACGATTCATATGTCATCTGTTTTATTTAATTCTATACAAACAATTCTATTCCCCTGTACCAGTTTCGAACTGACTCGGTCGAACTAAGGTTAAAATAGGGCTACATTTTTATTTGATATATTTGTGCCCGGAGAGCTACCGGTATTAGTAAGGATATGTTGTATAATGTGTAATGTATAATGTATATCATGCTCAAGCTTCTTCCAAACAGGCTCTTGGATCTCCAATGAGTGTGCGCATGTGTATAGTAGCCATGAGAGGCAGAAGTAAAATGCATACATGAGAATCATTGGAGTTGAACATGGTCATGGAACATTTACACCTGTAGTTCTATCATCAACAGGTGGAATATATCCACTTTAAAAGCTAGCTGATAAACTGTCTACAAAGTCTGGTCAAACAAATAGTATGGCAATGACGTTTATCAGGAAAAGAGTGATATTTGACCTTTACTTCTGAGAACAGCGGTTATTGCTATGTAATAGTGTAACAGTGTAATAGAATTAAAAAGTACAGTGAAAATTTAGAAGATTTGGACATAAGCGTGAGAGCCTTTACATTAAATTGTCAATGGACTGCACATATAACTAGAGCCAAGAGGGAGTTCTAATGTTCTACTCAGATTTTTAAAGTTTTCACCGTTCAATTATTACTTGAATCCAGAAAGCTATTAGATCAGTGAAATATCGAACTAACCTTGTTCTCAAGAAGCTTGTCTCTGACAAGAACGGGATCTTCTTTGGAGAAGACCAGACCGACATTTCCCTTGATGTGGGGCAACAGTTTCTCCAGGGCGGGGTTGTTGGACAGCTGACCTCGGATAGCTTTGTTCATCATGGTGTTCTTGCCTGTGGAGAGGCATTCCGGTTAATTGTATATAGGAAAATGAGAGGTCTGTAAAGTGTAATCGATCAGAATAACAGAATAGATGGGAAAATGGTAATTAACACGTAATTTGGGGGACGTGAATAACTTCAATTAATTTATTTAGAGGTTAATTTTGGGGTGATGAATAATACTCATGTAGAATGTAGATGTCAAATTCGACAGTTAGTTCGAGGTCACATAACACGAAGAGACAAAATAGATTTCAGTCTGAACTTACCCATGAGAATTTCAGCAATTCCTCGGAGGGATACACGGATCTGTTGCATCTGCTTAGATCGTACATTGTCAGCTCCCACGATGAAGATTCTGGGGTATTCCTCAAGCAGTCGCTGATGGAAGGACATAGATTATAATTAATTCTTCGAAGCTTTGAGGCCGGGTACGTTGAGAGCATTATTGGCAGAAAGTCTAATAGGTACGTCAAGATTGTCTTTTTTAACAGTCGCTCAAACACAATTTGAAACTGTTGTGTTAAAGGAGTGCACGTGCCGGTGCCAAACCTGTCCCAAACTCAATCTGGTGTTTCATTCGGAGGAGTTACGACTTAGTACAACGTACATACATTAGGGAATATTCTTACCTGGATTTTCAGAAAGTAACTGGCTTTCCATGCGGCTCTGTCTCCCTTTACCATCTTAGTGACTTAGAGGGTTTCCAAATAACAAGGATTTAAAGACAACTGAAAAAGAGATGGTTTAATTTATAGACAAACAAGAGGGACAAATCGGAAATGATTTTTTTCTGCCATGAGAAGATGTAAAAGATTTAATTTTTGAAACTGATTAAAGCTTTTAAAACTGATAAATTGTTTAACTGAGCGATGATAATCTTACGAACTTACTTTAAGAGCGTACAGTAGGGTTAATTTGAATAATGGCGAAAAGTCGGCGCGTTTATATATAAAGCTCCTTCATCAACTTTGTCGAGCCATATACGTTTGATTCAAATTTATCAGTGCGCGGCGCACCAAAGCGCGCTTGTCGCGTCCATTGTCAATTCACTTATGACTTACCTGCATGAGGCATGGTACATGGGGACCCCAGGTTTTAGTATTCATAAATACCGAATGAAGATATAGCAGAATGACAGGCTAAATGCCGCTCAGTAAATCGTTATTTATGATATGACGGCTCAAATGATAATAAACAGTCAACTACTATCAACTTTGTAAAACTATGACTATTGCTCTATCCAGAGCCTGCAGTGGCGTGAAGGCACATGGTTGGGCGAACTATGACTATATCATTTGATTGACGATGTCAATCCATTGAGATCGTTGCTCTGCGAAGCAAAGCAACAATCAACGATCGATGCGAAGCAAGAATGCTAGTTTGCGCGGCGCGGCGCGTCGAAGTCCTCCAACTATATCATATACATACATACTAAATATTTGATTCACGATGTCAATCCTTCGCAGCTCGGTGAGGCACAGTGGTGCATCTCGCCGATCTACCGAGAAGCATTATTTGATGCCGATCTACCGAGAAGCATTATTCTCGCCGATCTTGCGAGAAGCATTATTTGATGCGCGCGCGACCCAGTAGTGCATCGCGCTACAAATTAAATATAAGCAACTTTGATTTAATTAATTTAATGCAATAATGAATATAATTTAACTCAAGCAACTAAATTCGATTGATTTTATTTGATTTTTTATCCAATACAAAAATCACAATTATAAATGAATGTTGTCCGATCAACGTTAATTGTCTTGCATAAACAATAAAACTCGCAAAGTGCTGATGTGGGGTAATTTTATTGTTTATGGAGAATACCTTCACCTAAACATGTGGTTTGTCATTTTATTTGTAGGTTTGAGTGTTGAGGTTATAATTGATAATATTGTTGATCATATAAATTTTTGTCTCAAGTCGTGACTATCATTGTCATTTGTCATTTCATTTAATGTTTAATTTGTATCACGTTGTGACCCCCACGGTCGTTTCACTATCAATTCTAGCGTCCTGACGATACAGGTTACTGAGCCGCGCTCAGCCTGTCATTCCGCCTAATCTCTATTGTCTATGTTTATGAACATGATAGCCTGAGGTCCCCAGGTAAGATACAGGGGGAGCCGCGCACTTCGTGCGCGGCGGGTCATACAAGGTATGACAATGTCTAATACCGTGGCGAAAGCTACGATAACAGATAATGGATAAGAATTAGAAAGGCAAATAATTAACTTGCAATCCAGTTGATTTTAAAATGATTTACTTGAGACCCCAGGCTATATTCAATAATGTTTATTGTATATATAAACATAGACATGAGACAGTAGAGATTCTTTGTATCACGTTGCGACCCCCACGGTCGTTTCACTATGGTGAAATATCGTCCTGACGATACAGGGGGAGCCGCGCACTTCGTGCGCGGCGGGTCATACAACGTATGACAAGAGATTCTGCAGAGTAATTTAAGTTGATCATCAATAATTGACAATTGCAGACAATTGCATTGCATTGATAGACGATTTCAATCTTTTCGAGTTCTACTACGTTTATTTGAGGTTTAAAACTAATCACTTCACGTATACTAACTAAATTGATTGACGGTGTCAATCCGTCGAGATCGTTGCTCTGCGAAGCAGAGCAACGATCGTCGACGACGATCGTTGCTTCGATGCGAAGCAAGAATGCTAGTTTGCGCGGCGCGTCGAAGCGGCGAAGTCCTCCAACTAACTAAACTACTACTATTACTACTAACTACTATACTACAAATCTAAAATCGCGATCGTTTCGATTTAATTTATTGAGGATGTAACATATAATAAGGTATACCGATACGTCTGATTCTTACCGATCACCAATACGTTTGATTCTTATTAGGCGGCGCTCAGCCTGTCATTCTTGTAACTGGTAACACGTCGTGACCCCTACGGTCGTTTCACTAGGTTTTACTAGGTGTTACTGGGCCGCGCTCAGCCTGTCATTCCGCCGAATCTCTATTCTATTATGTTTATGAACATAATAGCCCCAGGTATACTAGGTGGTCCTAGTCCCCCTTTATCGTCCTGACGATACAGGGGGAGCCGCGCACTCGTGCGCGGCGGGTTATACAATGTATTGGAGGACTTCGCCGCTTCGACGCGCCGCGCAAACTAGCATTCTTGCTTCGCTAGCATTCTTCTTCGTCGACGATCGTTGCTCTGCTTCGCAGAGCAACGATCTCGACGGATTGACATCGTCAATCAATACAATGTACAACGTATGACATTGTCATTCCGTCGAATTTCTATTCGTTATGTTTATATTATGATTCACTATGTCAATCCTTCGCAGCTCGGCGAGGCCCGGTGGTTCATACGTTATACTTGATACTGCATCTCGCTGATCTACTGTGGTGCGAGAAGCATTATTAGATGCGCGGCGCGGCCCAGTCAGTAGTATTATGTATTTCATGTTGATTTAAAGGTAATTAATAATCGCTAATTAGTAAGTCCCCCCCCCCCCCATAAAATGATCCATCATCAAATGGAGTTTCTTTTTCTGCACATACATCAACACTTTAAGCATTTATAAAGATAATAATCTATACACTATATATCGTCTGTCAAATTGGCTATAACATAAGTTATCATTACTCAGGCGCGGCTCAAATTTTCGCGTTGGATGAAATAACGCGTTGGGCAAAGGGCACATGACCCGCTCATGATGGGCTTCCCAAGCTCACGCAATTTTCCTATATGACCTGACAGACCATCGTAGTCAACATCATTCATTCAGCTGTCGATTTTATTTTGCAGAACCTTCAGTCCACACAACCTTACTGCTTTCTCCACATTTTAGTGTATGATTTCTTTACAACTTGAAATTTCTTACATGATTCTCTGAACCAACTGCATCTAACATAATTATATTTTAGCCAAGGCTTCTATCTTTTAAACAAAATGACTGACGGAGATAAGACTGATCTTTCCGCTGTGACCGAGTTCGACAAGGCTGCTCTCAAGAAGGTGAGTCTTAATTTAATGCATCAATAAAATTTTCAATTTTGTGACCCAATTATGATTCGATGACACGGATTAGAACCCAATTTGCTTAGCAAATTAACATTCTTATCAAATTCAGGTCGAAACCGTCGAGAAAACCGCCCTGCCAACGAAGGAAGATATCGAAGCCGAGAAAGCCGAAGCCTCATAATATGGGAATCATTTTGTGGAGTTAATGGACTTTTAAACGTTAGCTACAGACGACGTTGCTCAATTTTTATTTGTTTTGAATATTTTACATATGCTTGTATATTTTTTAATGATACTTGGAGTTTAAAATTTGTATAAAGTCTGTGTTTATCTTTGTTGACGAACCAATACAAAAGAATTCAATTCATTTCAATTAATTAACTCTATAACTGGAGTTATTAAAATATTTTAAGTCTGAAATATCATAGAATGTAACAGTTATTATCATTATCAAGGAAAGTAATACAGGTTACCTGAATTAAGAAAACATAAATGTCATACAAGCTGTAAGTACATGTACATTTCCTCAAAATCATCAAGTTGATAGCAGTGAGTCATAAGCATACATTTGGACTAGAGAGTCCTGACATCCACAGTATGTAAAATATGCGAGAGTAGGTTATAAATATTCAAATGTTCTCCAATTAAAATGCAACTTTAGAGGATAGTTTACATCATGCTTGGCGCTGATTCGGAGAACACTAATCTTCCAACACATGCATCTCCATGTTTCCTTGGTCCACAACCTGAAATAAGAAGACTTCAGTTAAAGTTGGGTATTTTGTTTTGAATGACGTAAATCACTGCGTCCGGAGAAACCGGTTTTAAGACACACCAATTACCATGTCCATTAAAGAGGGTTAAATAATGACGGTCTCTCTCCGGCTCTCTCATACTCAACCCAAAAGTGGGCAGAACGGTGGCGCGGTCTAAACGAATTACTTACCGTCTGTAATTACCTTTATCATGGAAATTTGATCAAGGGCCCTAATTTCGTGATGGTGTAGACACACTTCAGCCATTACGTGTTCTGGTTTTCCGGCCGGGTAGTTTAGAGTGGCATATTCCGTGTTACACATCCCATATTACATAATTATGATGAAACCATGTTTCATTACATGATCTGGACAATTTATTTCTTGGTATAATTACCACTCGTTTTGGTCTCTTTCTACTAACAGATTATTACACAACAAAAAAACCTATTTCTGGTCATGTTCTATTAATACACACTCTGTCTGGGGGCCCTTGACATCATATTATTTCATACTCATAGTAGTGACAAATAAATCAAGCCACTCAAACTACCAGAATCTTTGACCAAACAAAACATTCCACCCTACATTTCAGCTGATGTCTTTTACCTGACTACCCGAGTAGCACATTACCCACAAACTAGGCGAGCCTTGCTCTCAAGTAGGGTTATTTTGTGCTGTTTTGGAGAGTAGCAAGTTACACGGGCGAGCTTATCAAGGCTAGTGGGTGTAATCACGTGATGACAGGTGGATGACATAGCAAATGACAGCCTGATGACAGACGTGTACTTGTCACTGATAATACACCCGATCTCTCTCTCTCTTTCTCAACTTGCTTCGTTCTTAAACTCACCCAGAATTAATGTAGGGGTTATTTTCAGTGAGTTAGAGGGTAAATCATTGCGTTGAGTGTTAAAAGTAAGGGGTGCTATACAGCTGAAATAAGTGCATTGTGCAACTATATACTAATATTACACTCAAATTGTGACTGATAAGAATAACCGTGGATTAATTGCAGGAATAATTGCAGGCCTATCTCTATTATATTGTATATCATATTAGTGCACAAAGTACGATATACCCGATATAAATGAACTATAGAAGTGTACAAATAGATAAATCTTGCAGATGTATATATATATTTGTAAGGGCTTACACACACTGGTGCCCTACAAATAGCCTCACAAATAACGGTATTATGTTACCCGTTATAAAGCTACTCATTGTAATGTTTCTCTCTGATCTTTACCCCTTACCAGTTACCACCCAAATTTCTTCTCTCATTGTTGTAACACATACCCAGGTAAGGAGCACTTAAAAGCAGAATGGGACTTGTAAAAGGAATCACTGGGTCCCTATGATAAAGTCATCAGCCCAAGTCATGTGCTAATATTTAGTTTAGTATGGTACAGATTAATAGTGAATGCACACGACGGAGTGGTCGCCGTCTGATCATAATCCTGTTACACGCATTTCCTACCATAAGGAAAAGTAAATATTTGTCCTCATTAGAAACATTCCGCACGTGTTTATGTAATGAATCCAGGTGTGTTGCTGAGAGGTGTTACAACTGGTCAGTCACTCTGCTTTTGCACTACAAAAACAATCCACTATGACAGTTACCACTACTGCTACCACTAATGTGCGATGTTATCTTTTAGTTTATTTTTAGTAACCTTATAGTAAATCTAGACTCTGTTATTCACATAACTGCGGTTTATATGAACGCCTAGCAGTAGAACGGAGGTAGACTACTAGCTCAGCCAAGACAAATGTACACGCTAAAGATCATGGTTCATGCTGTGTTAACGCAGGTCTTTTTTGTGTGTCTGTGGTCAAGGATCCGCTGCTAATACGAGTAGAGATAGAACAAAATGCACAAATGCACATTAGAGTGATTAGTTTATTTTATAAATTTAGACTAAGTGAGTAAGCAACGACGGTTACACTTATTGAACAGAGATTATTCCAACAATATTAGGATTTTATTTACCGGTTCAGAGTTATTATAGTTGTATGCATGGTTAACTTCATGTTAATATCGCTTAACTGCGGTATAATCAACAAGTGCTAGACAAGAAGGTGGGTCACACCACTCTTGTTGTTAGGACGAGAGACCTCTCAGGGAGACTTGGATTCAAATTTCTGTCCTGTTTTTTTAAAAGACCTTTCATGTTCAGAGGAGATAAACAATAAACGTTCGTTACATAAATTTCCACAAAATGTAAATAAATAACCTGTTTTTTAATGATGAGTTTGTTTAAGAACGTTTTGTACGCCTCGCTGTGTCGCAGTATCTTCGGCCGTTTTGCTGGAGCCGCTGAAATTGAAATGTGTAAAAATGACAGCGAATAAATAATTTGAGTAGGCATTGAAAAATACCTACCTAGGAAATTATGAGGTTAAACGTTGTCATTTTCCGAGTGACTAATTTTCACATAGGTCATTCCCCGCTTCAAGTTACTTAACCTTCACTCGATGCTATTTATAGACCACCTTATCTTAACAAATGTAGAGGCATCCATGTGAATGAATTACTACAATTTTTACGAATTGAATAGATAGAATTACCGATAGAAGATAGAATTAGCTTCTAAAAGATAGTATAAGTCTAGATCACAAATTCACGGGTATCACAGGCTTTTACTGCCAAATGAGGTAAAAACCTGGGCCCTTTCTGGGCCCTTTCTGCATTCCTTAAGGTAAGACGAAACTGGATAATTCCAGAAAATTGTGCGTTGTCTGCGTAATCAAATTTAAAGTTCTCACGTTAATCTCTAACACAATAACCCTTAACAAAATGTTCACACCGAATGAACACGGGGAATGAGCTATTGTAGTAACCAGGGGATCACGCACATATTGCCAGATAGTCACGACCTTCCGACTGAGCTGCAATTTATGGAAACTAATTCATTTAAATGTTTGGGAGTTGCATTTGGTTGGGTGTGATTTAATTAACGCCAAATGAGAGGGATCATGACTGGTGTATTTAGTTTCATAGTGGGAGGAGGAGACTGAATTATGTTCGTTAAATGTTCAATGTCCGACAATAACTGCATATGCTAGGTTTGAATTTGACTCATGTTGATTGTTGAAGCCAGATTGTGCTTCAAGAGGTCGGATTGTCAGAGATTAATACTAGAAATAAGGAAAACGCCTCATTTTGATAAATGCATCAATCCGTTGATCATTGTTACACCACTTAACACTTCACACTACACACTACACGCCACACGTGATACATCACACTCCAAAGCCTCAACTACCCGAACCACACCTAATCTTCCTGCACCACAGGAACACACCAAACAGCATACATCTAACCGCTCACCCGACAGTCCTGTGGACGGTTTTAAAATACCCGACACACAGTTTAACACACAGATCAGTGGGTGTCGGGCGTGAGGTGGGTGTGTAGGAAGGAGGGAGTGTGGAAGAGGGAGGGGAAACCGGGGAAGTGTCGCTAATTTACAGCTAGTTAATCGGCCGATCATACTATTGATGCACACTGTAAGTCTGGTACTTCATAACTCATGTACACATACTGAGTACTACTACTGGAGAGTTAGAAAGTAGCTGAGTATGTATTCTAGTGTACGAGGAGAGCTCACCTACCACACACGCTTCATCATGGCTGGACGGAAGTGTGGGGTTTATGTTGATTTTCCTGCATAATTTATGTGCTGTTATGTCGAGCAACAACAAATGTTCATCACGTCTTGAATTAACACACCACCGTGTAGAATGGTTCGAGCGGTGAGTTGTGAAAAATTGCACAAAAGAAAAAAGCGAATGTAAAACTAAAATTGTTGCAGAAGATCCAGGTGAATCTGCAAACTGAGATAGAAATACCAAATATCTACCTAATAGATGAATTGTGTTTCCTCCAGTTTAATGACCAATTTTTCGACTGACTTCTTTGTCTTACACAGAATAGCAAACTCTGAAACCTTTAAAAGAGCTGTGTAAATGTGTTTAGTCAAATGCAAGTCATGTTTAATGTTTAGTCAAATACATAACTTATGTTTAGTCAAATACAAGTCATCTTTATTCTTTAGTCAAATTCAAGTTATGGGGGGCCAAATCATAAGCTCACGTACCGTTTGCTTTCTAACCATATCACATTCAATAAGTAATGCTCTCTTAGGATACAGATATTTAGTATTTTGTGTGTAAACTGTACTCTTACTTTTACCTACAGTGTATTTCTAAAAATTCTTAGAAAGAGCGTACCCTGAAAATATAAAGTACCACAACTGTTGGTGGGAAGAAGAAATGACCTCACGAAGAAACAAACCAATCAGAGCTCTGTATAGTATCACTTGACCAGTGACCAATAGTAAATTCAAGAAAAGTAGGCATGAGTACACTAAACACTCTCTTGAGTAGGAACACTTTGGAAATGTGCACCTCTTTGTACCATTTTTAAAGTCTAAACCGTGGCTGCACTTTATAACACGCCAAAATACTTTTGAACTTTCCATTTTGTACATTCTACACGCATAAAACGCATGAAACGCACGCACGTACAAGTTACCATCAGTACCTATACACGCAATTATTATTAGAAATCGACATCATTTGAGAATGGTCGGTGTTTACTGTTTCAAATATCTGATACGGGAAGTCATTTAAATGTAATACCGATCGGCTTAGCCCTAATCTGCCATCTTGTGTGACAACACAATCGGCAACATTCCTGTTTTGTGTCAGCATCATTCCATCTTCCTACCCATTGTACGGCCATTATATCGGCTCATTCAATTAGGGATAAACAGTCAGACCATTCGTCCAGTCAGGAGACACTAATTGAGGATTGAATGAGACCCCTGCTCGGCCTTTTGTTTGGGGGAAGTAGGCAAGACAATGGTGGGTTCATTCGGCACAACTGATTGGTGGTAAAAGTCACGTGAGAAGCTAAGGGAGCTGAATTATTGGTGGGTACAGGTAACGTGACCAGCTTCAGAAGCTCTCCGATTGGTCGGAGGGGTTAGTTCAGAACGTTACGGTCCCTGATTCGAACAAAAGTTTTATGAACAAAAGGTACCAGTGGAGAAGTAGGAACGGCTTGAGTACGCTCTAATGCAGCTTTATTTTTGCCATTGTGGTGAGGGAGGGAATTTGCGAGAAGAATATGAGCATGTGATAGAAGAAAGGGAGGGAGATGTCAGCAGCCTGCAGGTTATAACTCATTGAATGGGGTATTGACTAGGGTACCGACCACTGTGTTGTGCTTTATGTGTGGTTTTACTAGCAACCACTGCAATTCACAGAATGAGTCTAAATGTTCTAGAAATATGGAACAGCAAATTTTGTGAAGGAAAACTGTAATTTGTGTACGCGATGACCAAGTTTATGAAACTTGGTCGTAATTGAATGTTGGTGTTGAATTCAGATGCCAAAACTTTCCCAGATGGTGCGATTTCGAATGGTCTGTTCTTGCAGTTTATCAGGGTTTGATCTGACTGTCAACCAGGAAGCTTATTAAAAGACATTTAGCCAACTAGAAAGCTATGAAAAGAAATTTATTCGTTCATAAACAAGTAATCGCATTGCAAATTTCATTATTGGTCGGGAAATTTTTGTTGTTGCTTTCTATGGAAATATCGAAAGCAAATTAACACACAGCTATTTTTGCTTTAACCTTTTGCGGTTGAACATTTTGCAGAAAACGCATCTTTAAGTAGTATTACCACTCCGTTTATAATAATACTAATTTTAATTCCGTATGCTATTTAAATATATGCTATTTTATACCATCCAAACATAATATTTCCGTTAACAATGTTAAGAATATTCAAAGAGAGATTTCATGTTCGTTCATAGTGGAGGTTGAGTGTATGTTCTTCTCCTTCGCCCTCACGGAAACACAATTTCCTCCATGCTATAACCAGCATTATCTACGGTGGATAATTAAGCTTTGCCGGATTGGTCAGTTAGAATATTCACTAATCGACTGAAACGTCATACGTCTGGGAAATTTGTTCCCCAGTGGAATCAGCCGGTCGAAATTTACCTATCGAATATTGTTTGAGATAAGAAAAATTCGAGATTCGAGAATTGTTATACATCTATAATGGACCTCGGGATTGCGGTGTTTGCCAGGAAAATACCCTTTGAACATGTGATATGAACTAACACCTTTTAAATCACGAAGTTATTCGCTTGATTTCCAGGAGGTTTGATACAGTGCGTGACCACCGACCAGAAATGATGGGAAATATCCCAAATAATTATCCGTAAGAATATTCGTAACACAATACAAATATTCGCATACATAATATACATGAACTCTGACTAGCCGGACAGATAATGTCACATTTCTCTGTAATCAACAGATTATACGGATTGCGGATCCTAGGCTTATGATTGGTCGGATTTCAGTCACGTGGAAGTGAGAGTGGTTTAGTGATTGGCTGCCTCATGTCCTCAGTCGGCCAGGTCAACATGTTGATCTTTGCAGCTACATGTATCCACTCTGATCTCACTTTAACTTCCAGGCTGAGTAAGATGACGTGCTTACGGCCGCCAACACGTTACCTTCTTAAGTGTTAAAATCCATTACATAACATATACCCGGAAAATTAGAGAATTAAAAAAAGGTGATGTAATAATTACTGTTATGGTCGAACACTCACATTCGTTACATTCCGGAGATACCAAGGGACACGGGGTCCGAAGTTCGGGGTAAAAGCCGTACAATGTTGACAGCGATCTTATCAGGGTTACACTACACATCAATCTTAGATTCCTTACACATGGTGCTGTTAATTTATTATTATCTGGGTAAAATGTTTGGGGACAACAGTGGGCGCCTCCCCCTACGATATCACACTTGTAGGAGATCCGTATCTCGTATCCTTGTTATGATTTAAATTGTTTTAAAAAGTAGTGTACCTGTCTTGTAGGAATTAGGAAGCCAGAAATATGGTACTTTTTTAGGGTATTGGGTGATTCGGCAGCCTTATTATTAAGAACTACGACATTTATTATATTAGGAGTAGAAGTACGAAAATAACGAATCGGTCAATTTTTTAAAGGTCATAAGAGAAGATAATTGTTTTTCTCTTCTTGAAGTCTGAAGGAATAAGACAACACCTTTATGCTGAAGTAGAAACCATAGAAAACCACACAATATGGTGAACATAAAATCCAGAATCTTTAATATAGCTGAAGTGTAATAGTGAGGTATCAGTGATAACATTTGTAATGTTAGCAAGTTATAAAAATGACAGGTTAGGTCCATATCATTTTAAAAACTACTGAATAATAACTAGCAAATTGTAACTCTGATAATGTCATTCGTTCATCGTCAGATCTATCCAATGAGCTCAGACATATACAGACATATATAGAGTATAACGGTCAAGTTATCTTTACTTTAGTTCACAATTGGCAAGGTTGCCTCTGTCAACCGTACGTGTCATCGCTAGTGATTCACTGCAGTTACATGATGTGATGAGAAGAGCTACAAGTGACCTTGAACATAGAGCATGTTCTAATATTCGGAAAGGGAGGGTTGTAAATGGAACAGGAAGTAACAGATATGTGGGTCTAGTGCCAGGTTTACAGCTGGAACAGGAAATTGAGGGTTACTGGCAAATTCAGGATTTCTTGGAGCTGAAGATTACGAGAAATTCATCCTATTTGTGGCATTTTACTGCCTATCCAAACGAATTTGAATCTTAATTCTGGATTTGTACAGCTAGTTCCTGATTCTTGTTCTACTCGACTAGCAAGGGTGTTAAGTCAGACAGGAAATCGAAACTCTTATCACAATTTGGTGGTCCAACAGATAATTTCCAATTACATTCTCAGATAAAGTCACTTCTCACCCTAATCAATTTTAAAATGAGCATTTTTATCAGTACTTTACTGCGGTACTTGTGAATTGTAGCAACTGTTAAACAAGGGAGAACAGGTTAAACCTGATTTGTGATTACCGTTTTTAAACAAAACCGTATGAAAACACATACATATACGTGGGATTTCTTATCAATAGAATATTCCCGAAAAATATTCGATAATTTGGGCAATTCTTAGAATTGAGGTTCTGATAAGGACCGGATCATTATTTGTATTACTTATTCTCTTTTGACATTAAAATGATACATTTAAAATATACAAAAATTGTACAATCCCATTATACAATCCCATAGACCTGTGAAAATAACAGCAATGTACAATGTACTAATGTAGTTTCAGAATTGATTAAACAGGAGAAGGAACTAAAATTTCGAGCCTACTTATTCCAAATATTGGGCGTGACTAAAATGTGAGATTGTTACATTTTCTTTTGGAAAATAACATGTTAAATAACCAGATGAGCTCTAGAAGGGAATAATGTAGATACATTCCACAGTTAAGTCACTGTTTATGATACAGGGTAATCAAGTAATGGCCAAATGTCATATTTCCAGAGAAGAAACACAATGTCGTGGACAGGAATGTTATGCCAGTAATTGGGGGAGCGTTATAGGGACATTCCAGTGAGTAGATCCTCCAGAAACATTTGTTTATTTTGGGGCGTGAAGACAATGTTGGCTGCGATGCAGGAATTAGAAATATTCAATTGATTGGTACACAAAATTCCTCAATGTTTGCCCGTATCGTATAAGATGACCTATTGATTGCTTTTCGGCATTCGCTATTAATAGAAGAATTATTAATCATGATGAAAATGTGCCGGTAAAACAATTCTCCTAAAATTATACAAAGCACACGGACAGATTTCTTCACGGAATCTAAAATTATGTCCTAATTTTCCTCTAATTATCACCACACGAGACATAATAACGACTATACATTCACAGAAAGTAACCTCCACTGCCACAGATCTCGCAAATTTGCAGTGTAAATATAGATCTTCATGTATTAAACAGAGGAAGAAATACCTTGTTACGAGGCTCCGAGTTGACTGTCAAGGAACTAGTAACTTGGTTGCTATAGTAACAGTCGGTATTGTTGGTTCAAGCACCACAGAGATCTGAACAATGACCGGAACATCAGGTGTAAGTACCGGCTAACTTACCACATGAATTATACAAGATAGAGCGGGGCGCGGTGTCTTTCATAGTTCCTTCTGCTTCAAAGGTGGATTCGTGTATAGTTACAAAGGAAGACAGTAACATTGTGTAACTCAGAGATTATGCCCGATTGAGAACCAGCTGTGTCACCATTGTGAGTGCTTCTAAAAATTACATTGTCATGGACTTTATATACAAACGACTGTCTTGTTCAAAGATAGCAGCCTAAATTGTACGGTATTTAAAAGTCAACAATATATTGCAGTACACCATTATATGACATATCTATCAGAGCAGCTCTTTGTACTGAGCAGTACCAAGTCTCACGCACCAATGCGACCAAACATACATAATATTATGTTTGTGTCAAAAGTAATATTTGTTATTTGTTAGGCAAATCGACATCGTTCCATGGGGCTAATGAACGTTCGGGAGTCCATGAATTTCATTGTCCAAATTATTCGCGCATGTCGGTTATGGTCAAACTGTCAGCATCTAAACTTAGGAATTGGTTGATGGTTATGGAACTATTCAGAGTCCGAGGACAGTTTTACTTGTAGGCCTTACTGGGCTCACAATTTTGGATCAGTGTTTCATTTTCCGCTTTATTGTCTCTACACAGATGAGATTAAGCATCTGAACATAAAAAGATGAGCACTATAATTGCGATTATGAAGCAGTATATAGAAAGGTATCAATTTCTTCAACACCTCTACTCAGATTGACCTAGAATTTTAAGAATCATGGCGTCATTTCCATTTTAAGGTGCTACTTATTGAAGTCATCAGCGGTAAATCCGGATGAATCAAGAGTAAGTTGATGCGTGGCTGATTGTACTGTCTGTGTATATTTGTGATCATATTAGGATATGGTTGACAGTGCAGATGCATACATTTGTGTGATACCAAATTCTTGAAAAGATTGATTTGTGACCTCTTAGAATGACAGATAGATCAACAAATTCAGATAAAATTAATGAGATGCAATGAACAATCCGCTCGTGAGCCACTAAAACTAGCAAATATACCATTTATTTCAAATGAAAAGTACAGCTATTTTTGCGCGCACGACTGTTTTCGCTCACAACGCGTGGATCTTACTAAATCGTGTTGCGTCGACTCAAAAATAGACCATCAGCTTGAAATAAAATTGTAAGTGACTCAAATAAAGTTAAATATACTTACGAAGAGTGAATCCGGAATCAGACATGTGAGACATGAGGTGCCGCCTCAATAGAATCTGTGTATTACAGCCCTCTACTTTGGCTGAAAATAGTACAAATATGACGGTAAGTTTGAGAAATATTTCATTAACATTAATGCATATTTCATTAATTCATGTTTTAGATATTCTTGAAAATTATATTTTCTAATCATGTTAAAGGGAAATTGAAAAATTCGCTGCCTGGATTGGCAGACTATCAAGTGTAAGCTATTATAAGGCTTTTCCACAACCGACGTGAACCTTCTAAAACGTTTTTACAAACCTTTTCTATCAGTACATCCCACCCAGAAACATTTCCAAGCTGGATTATTTCTCTCACTCAAGTGTGTCTGCGTGTTAATCACGTGACTGTAAAATTCCTGCAGGGTGCAATTAATGATCAATATTTATTTAACAAATTGGTTTTTTTGTGCTACTTTTTACATTAATTTTGTATCTATAATAATATATATTTGAAGTAAACATTGGCCAGTAAGCAAAGCTGGTCCTCAATCAATCTTTGGTAAACAAAATCAACAAAATGTGACATTTCAAAATATAACCTTTTATTTCCTGGACCGTGACCAATTATTATCTGTGGGTTATTAAGTGTGCACAAACACGGTTATCCTAACACCCTGCAGCACATAATATAATATTCGTAACCTTTGAGTCCAAAATTAAGTTACAAAATGGCCACCTCACCTATAGTAGCAAATTACCTAGTTCCAATGCCATACACCTTGATAAGTTCGTGTTTGCACAAGTAAAGATTATCGACTTCCCCCTTTTAATCACATAATCCTTCATAAAACAATGTTTTAACAATAAACAAGGAAATGGAATAAAAATAGAACAGCTATTCGGTAAATCTCATGAGCAAGACTCTCCCACCCCATACTCAGACTATTTTCACTGTCTTACTTAATTTACTAGTTTGTTTGCTTAAAGTTTATCAGAGAGGAATCCAAATACCATTTCCAGCACCCATTTAAGACGGTTTCAGCTGTCATAAAATTATTCCCAATTATTTTATATTATACAATTACTAATAGTGGTGACAGGGAGGAAGATAATAGTACAGGGTGGCCCAAAAGTAACTGCCCACACACCACCCTTTAATAACTCACATAATTCTTCTTAGAATTGCACAGAAATTTCGGAGATTATAGATATGGGTCAAACTTAGATTTCCTGAAAGTTTCGTCAAATTTAATTAACTACAGTGGGTGTGGCACGCCACCCCCTCTTTTTCACTATTGTCACCATAAAGTGAGAACGCTTCCAGCTAGTAACTTCAAAGTTTCTAGACACATTTGGTTTGATAATTGAAGTGCTTTCCTAAAATTTAACCGAGTTATGACCCTTTTAAGATATTGCAGATACGGGATCTTGGCACTTAATCAGTGATTTCGTCACCCAATCAGTAATCTCATCGGGAGCTAGTCGCTAGCGAGCAACAATGAGACTCATTAGGCGGTAACGAGCATGTTGGTGGATGACGATCTGATCACTTTGAGTGAATACTTCCTTAAAACCGAAGACATTTGCGTTGATTAGGTGCTGGATCACGTATCTGTAAGATCTTAAAAGGGTCATAACTCGGTTAAATTGTGAACAACCAACTTGAAATTTTGGGAAAGCACTTCAATTATCAAGCCAAATGTGTCTAGAAACTTTGAAGTTCCTAGCTGGAAGCGTTCTCACTTTATGGTGACAATAGTGAAAAAAGAGGGAGTGGCGTGCCACACCCACTGTAATTAATTAAATTTGACGAAACTTTCAGGAAATCTAAGTTTGACCCATATCTATTATCTCTGAAATTTCTGTGCAATTCTAAGAATAATTACGTGAGTTATTAAAGGGTTGCGTGTGGGCAGTTACTTTTGGGCCACCCTGTACTTTTTGATGGTCAGTTTTTACCGCATCAAACAAGAATTGCGCCCGTTGTTTCGTTTTGGCGGACGCTACATTTCCATTCACTATAAAAATAAGTATTAGCTCTAATCAGCTCACTTCATAATAATAATATTGATAAATTATGCTTTAAATACGGGACACTTGAAATTCAATTCAATTACCGTAGAACTTAACTTGTATCTGTAATTCAAGAAATTGTAAGCAAAACTAAAAGTAAACTATACTCATGTTTTATACACATCAGTACACTACGCGTGCCACGTACGAATTACCTAATACTATACATTAAAATACACTCGCGCCGCGCATTCATTGACCACAGGCTAGCTATATACATCACATCTCCGCAAGCAACCCTCGCGCTGCTAGTTGACATGGTAACGGACGTAAGGAACACGACATATTTAGACCTACCTATGGCGATCTCCAAAATCCACGTTTTTCTGCAAAAAAGACCATTCGTAACCTTTCACTTAACATTTTTTCAAAATTGTGAAATGGAAAAAATATCCACCCCAACCGAAGAAACAGCAGATTTAAATGTAAAACATTCCACACAACGTAAAGTGACAACAAAACCGGTCATAATTCCGTTATCATATTCATTACTGTGCAACTTTCTATTCCTCATCCAATTTGCACATGGCGGTTATACGTACAAAAATAATCTTCCGAATTTAATATTATAGAGAGTGAACTGAAGAATATTAATTTTATACTCACATTGTGATTTGCGAAGGATTCCGTACACGTGCCCCAGCGACAACACATTCTCTTCGGAGCTCCTGGGAAATCTGGGAAATTTAAAATTTAGCAACAACAAAAAAGATGCCAAAACTTCTCAAGTTATTAATATAGAATTTTCAAAAATAAATCCCTCATGTTACGGCACAGATGTCTACAATTATTATAATAGACTCGCTTCGCAAATACTCTTTCAAGATTAGTGCAAAGAAATAGTACATAATATGTACTATTTCGTATATATTATAGAGCCTTACGAAACTGATACCTCAGATAAGCACATTATTAATGAAACGACTGTCCTCAATGTTTACCAAAATGATGCTGCTCTTAAAATGGTAAAATCTGGCAAGTCTTTGACTTTTAATCGATTTTGTTAACGTCCTGTGCAAACCATGGTGTGAATGGCAGTGTATTTCATTAGAGCTGCGAAAATGATACGAGTGCACATACATGCATAATTTGCATATGCCTGCGGTTGTCATTATGCTGCCGGGGAGTATGTACCAAAAGGATCGTGGCCGTACCGCCACAGGACAAGGAGATCGACACCTCGTCCACTAGCTTGCTATGGTCACCATATTTTGTTGTGCTATTTCATCATTTACCGTCGATAGTTCTGGTTGGCGATTCAGTTAATCGATGTTCTAAAGAAGTTTCTGTCACACCCGTGTGCCTTCATATTGATAAACGTCTGTTTACGTCAGGCCAAAATATTTGGTGTAAATTCTAAGAATGGTACAATAGCAAGAGAAAAGCAATTAATCAAGCTGTCATGCCTGATATCATTACTCTTTGGATTTGTAATTGATTCAACCATCATTCAGTTAAATAGCTGGCAGTATCGAGATAGCCCGACCACTGGTCCGCGGACCACTGTCTGCGGACCACTGTCTGCGGACCACTGTCCGCGGACCACTGTCTACCAGATCATATTACTGTATAATAACAGTATCCCCTGAATCAAGCAGGGTTCACATCATCCCCTGAATCAAGCAGGGTTCACATCATCGCACGCGAATTCCAATCAGCGGTGGTGTCAAGGCTTATTAAACGATTAAGCAACCTTACGAGATCAGTTCACATCATGCAATATATAAAGAATAACTATTATCAGACTGCATCAATCATTTCTATCATCAACTCCTTCTTGAACAACTACAACTATGGTCTCAGAGAAAACGAAACGGATGAACTCAGCCCTACCCTGCGACCCTATCTGCAAACCTATCTCACCTCTCGACAAGTGGACTCAAGCTGGTAAAACCCTCATCGTCACCAGAGCCAACCCAAGCTTCTGCGTTTTCTGCAACAAGAGGCATGCTGGTATATCATGCGCTGCTCATGACCCTGTAGCATCTTCTGATGCCGGAGGTCTTGCTAACTCCTAATCAATAGTTTGATCCAGTAATTTACTACGCTACAATTAATTATACTAAGTCGTAACTAATTGCATCCAAGATACCATACATACCATTCATATAATCTGGTAACCAATCAACTATTCACAAACACCTGTTGCTTACATATAGCAATCCTACATATAGTAACCTGAGAATCGCGTTGAATCGACAGGGAGTTTTCGAGAAGAAGCAGCAGAGACGATGATAAATTTTGAGAACATGCCAGTTTAACTACTTTTACTATTCACACTTTTAAACTTTCTAATCAAAAGAACACAAACTTGTTATAAAAGGAAAGATGACCAATTATTGTGGAATCATACCAATCAAAACGTTAAAATTATAAATATTATCAAGATTTAATCCCATTTAATCACGTTATAATGATATTACATTTGAATTATTTGCCTTGCATCAGAACTCTTCAGTTTAAGTGTTGTTTTTTAGTCCCCTTTAAATTTAATCATCAGATATGTGTAAGTTTTCTTCGCAACATCAAGTTCGTGAAGATGGTTTCAAGCTTTTGTCTGAGTGTGATCCCCATCGCTGAATAAAAAGTTGTAAATTGTGAGAACGATTCAAATCAAATCAAGGGAAACAGAGCAACCAAGAGGAAACATTCGAGAAAACAACATATTCTTTTTATGATGTTTCCTTGTACTTAATGTTTAAATAGAGAAAGCAAAAGGAAGGTTGATAGCACTTACCTATGTTTTGAATCCTGAACAGAGCATGCTCGATCCGCTTGGCATTCTTTAGTTTCTTCTTCATTTCCCTCACAAGACTTTCCGCCTACAGAAGGGGCCGGATTGTTGCAATACCTTTTCCGAGTCATTGTTCCAGTTCCACACTTCGCTGAACAACTGGACCAATCACCAAACTCACTCCAGCCCCCTTCGACGAAATAACGTGGACACTTTGCCATCTTGTAAACCTTAAAATCGTTTATGGCAGCACAAACTGCGGTTACTTCGCACCAATATCTGGTGGAGCATCCAGATAAAGCACATCTTCGGTCATTTGGAATGATACCATGTGTGTTTACTCCCTTATTTGTGAGAAGACCCAACCAAGGACTCATGGCGTTACAAAGAACCTGCTGGTAACCGGGCAGGCAAGAAACTCCCGGAGCTGAGCCGCGGGAGTGCAGGTTAATAAAATTGGGTAGGTCAGGGCCATCACTGTTACAAGGGTCGGTAACTTGCTCACTTCTCGAGCAAACAGCTCTTGCGATAGCACCGGGACCTCCTGCTCCATTTACTGCGACACAAACACGACCGTTACTCGGATCAACGTATGCTCCGTCACTTCTGGTATGGACTAGTCCTGATTGAACTTCACAGTGAGAAACTACATAGCCTGTCGGACAAACTGCTCTGGATTGAGCATCATCCCATGAACCACTAATTAACCCCACAGATTCCACAACGTCACTCTTAGGACAGACAGCAACCTTGTACCCTTCTAGATCCTCATTTATTCGGCAAACAGCAGTTACTTCACACCAATTACTAGTTGAGCATCCAGATACAGCACAGACCTTTTCATTGGAGATGATACCTTTTGTGTCCACTCCCTTGTTTGTGAGAAGACCCAACCAAGGACTCCTGGCATTACAAAGAACCTGCTGGTAACCGGGCGGGCAAGAAACACCCGGAGCTGAGCCGCGGGAGTGCAGGTTAATAAACTTAGGTAGGTCAGGGCCATCACTGTTACAAGGGTCGGTAATTTGCTCACTTCTCGAGCAAACAGCTCTTGCAATAGCACCGGGACCTCCTGCTCCATTTACTGCGACACAAACACGACCGTTACTCGGATCAACGTATGCTCCGTCACTTCTGGTATGGACTAGTCCTGATTGAACTTCACAGTGAGAAACTACATAGCCTGCTGGACAAACTGCTCTGGATTGAGCATCATCCCATGAACCACTAATTAACCCCACAGATTCCACAACGTCACTCTTAGGACAGACAGCAACCTTGTACCCTTCTAGATCCTCATTTATTCGGCAAACAGCAGTTACTTCACACCAATTACTAGTTGAGCATCTAGATACAGCACAGACCTTTTTATTGGAAATGATACCTATTGTGTTAACTCCCTTGTTTGTGAGAAGACCCAACCAAGGACTCCTGGCGTTACAAAGAACCTGCCGGTAACCGGGCGGGCAAGAAACTCCCGGAGCTGAGCCGCGGGAGTGCAGGTTAATAAACTTAGGTAGGTCAGGACCATCACTGTTACAAGGGTCGGTAACTTGCTCACTTCTCGAGCAAACAGCTCTTGCAATAGCACCGGGACCTCCTACTCCATTTACTGCGACACAAACACGACCGTTACTCGGATCAACGTATGCTCCGTCACTTCTGGTATGGACTAGTCCTGATTGAACTTCACAGAGAGAAACCACATAACCTGTCGGACAAACTGCTCTGGATTGAGCATCATCTGCCAAACTACTTCGATCCCCTACAATATCCAAATTTCCTGCGATCGGCGAGGAATGTGCTACTGATATCAGTGTTAGCGTGGCAAATATAAAATTCATCGTACAGATGGAAAATCAGTCGCCGCAAACATCAATTAAAAAGAGAAAATGATAATACTGATTACGGTTAAGAACTTATAAGAATTTTTTATCGATGATAAGTTTAAAAGTGTAATTAAATTGAAAGGGACGAAGATTACAATTTCACACGTTCCCAAAAGCTGGAACTTTCGAATGACCTAACATCAGCAGTTATTATGAGAAGGAGGTTTTTACATAATCGGATCAGGTTTTTTATCGACGACTGTAATTGGTTTGCATCTGAATTTCACCGCTATACGTGGTACTATAAGTGTTATTAATTTAAGTTAGAGATAGCATAAAATCCATCCTGCCTCAATGAAAGTGGCCTCATTGCGAGCTGACTAGAAGGTAAAACCAAATTTCGTTTTCAGAAGTCGCAAAGAAGTAGCACCCTACTTATACTATTTAAGTTCAACTCGTTGGTTTGATTATAGAAGCATCATGAGTCCGTCGATCGGACGCCCGTGTTGTAATATGGTACTTACTAGAGCTAGATTAGCATACACTATACCCTAGGAACTTGGTTTTCTATACCCGACACAACCGCCAGCCAGCTCCCACGAGCCGCCTCTGGAACATAACACGAGGAAATATGGACAGAACTGAACAAGAACAAAACCACATTCAAAGACTAAGGAATCAGGAGGACTCTGAAACCCAGGAATCAACTGCTTAGCTATAATCGCTCAATAATCGATCGATCCAGTACATGGTGCAGAAAGTTGGAGTTATAAATTTTGGAAGTACGTAGGGATCGAGATCTGATATCGATCGTAAATACTAAAAAATACATCGCTAGCACAACTGTAACTGCAGTTTTACAGAACTCTAAATGCTTAATGAATACACTTGCAGTTACCACCCGTATTCACACTCAGAATTGAGTTTAGTCATTTTCCAATACGAGATTAGGGACGGGTTCTATAAACAAACAAACAAACAACAAGCTTTTATTCTTGTAGTATTTGCTTCTACTCTTGTAGTATTTGCTTCTACTCTTGTAGTATTTGCTTCTACTCTTGTAGTATTTGCTTCTACTCTTGTAGTATTTGCTTCTACTCTTGCTTCTACTCTTGCAGATGCGTTTCGTTTCTACTTCTTGTTCCTTCTGTTCCCTAGGGACAGCTGAATCCGGGCCAGAGGATAATTACCGACTGCCAAGGTTTGATGCCTTGGCAGTCTAGACCTCTTATTAATATCGTATATTATAATAGTTAACCTGTCGTATTTCGAGAGTGAAGAGTACTATTAGAGGATGCGAGCGGAGAGAAATGGTAGACGTTTGAGGGAGTGTTGGAAGTTTTCGGACGGATGTTACTACCGTGGCGTGGGTTCGAGGTGCCGGCTGAAGGAAGAGATCCAAGTTATTTAAAATTAAAGGTTAATTTTAAGTTAAATTTTATCATAAATAGTATTTATTATAGAATGTTTTCGTGAAGGTTTCGATAACATGTTCAAAACTTTAAAAAATAATAAAATGAGCAGTGAGCTGGTAACGGAAACATTTGTTATATTTGATATGATACTGATAGTAAATGAATTAAAATGGTGACAAAATACCAGAGTAAAATAATAAATGGTAAACAAGTAACAACAAGAAACACGATAAAGAGGTTAACTTCCACCAACCGATTGCAGCATTATTGTTGATAACAACAGCATTGTTCACCACAATCCGAGCATCCGGACTGTTCCTTGCTATCTGAGTTCCAGGAGCTCTAATGAGTCTAGGGGCTGAACCCTGCTGGTACTGGGCAGTGTGTCGGGGTACTGTGGGTGTTCCTCCTCCTCCTGAGGATGGTTTCGGAGCCACGTTCCCGCGTTCTGGTAGTTCAACTTCCGAATCGGAGTTATCTTCTGAAATAAGTTCGGCTCTGATTAAAATTTTAGTAAATACGGTCAATACGTGTTTTTTTTTAAACGTTTCTATTTACTGTTATCAAATACCAACAACTATCGTACCACTTCTTTGTTTCAATTTATATTAACATAGCATGGCCCAGGTGCGGTGGTGATTCAGATAAATCATTATCATTTTTCAACATTGAAACTAGATCCGTTGTCTTCCTTCAGTGATTTGCTCCGGAGTTGATTAAGAACAGCAGTTTAAAAAAAAACACACTGATCAGTACATTGTCACATGTACTACAATGCATCACAATATTGCGGTGAATATTGTGTAATTGTATAAAAAGTTGAATGTACATTGTACATGCACCATGACCACCACCATGATCACTACTCCTTTCCGATTTTACCTTTTTTATTTTCATAATATTGTATTTGCAGACGTATATTGTATTCATCAGGATTGAATGGTTCGACGGTTCGTAGCGGATATCGGTTTTATCAGAGAAATTGATTAGATAAACTCAAACTACTCGGGGGGAAGGGGGGGGGAGGGGGGGGGGGGGGACCCACCCACCCCCTTCGCGGTACTAACTGCTTTTTTGGATAATAATTTAGACACCCACTCCCTTTTTGCCGGCTTTTGCGGTACTAACTGTTGAGAAATCACGGTACTAACTGTGTCTTGGTATATAAAATAAGATACCCACCCATAAATTGCTTTAAACAGCTCATTAAACATTGGGAAATGGGAAAATTATCCCCTCTATTTAGTAGGGGTTTTTTTCCAATGTAATCGAATTAGTTAAAAGTTACAAAAAAAAAGGAAAAATTAAAAAAAAAACCCAAAAAAAAACTCAACAAAACCTCAAAACCCATTCCCTAAATTGAAATTAGAGGTAAAATGGGTTTTTTTGGGGTTGGACACCCCCTTAGTACCATGTACTAACCGTTTTTTTGGGAAATGAGCAGCAGACCCACCACTTAGTACAAAAATACTAACTGTGTTTTGGAAGAAAATATGACCCACCACCCAACATCACGTACGGTACTAAGTGTATGATCTCCCCCCGCCTAAATAAAGAAAATTCAACAAATTAAAAAACATTTGACCTCCTAAAATCGTCCCCTCGCAGCTGCACCGCCGTATAATTAATTCTATTCGCTGAAAGCATTTAGCACTGTCCCACTGACTAAAACATGATGAAACTAACGCCAGGGCTCTATTTTTGAAATCATCTTTGTCATCCCAGATCGTTATAAACTATAGCTGTTCGTCTGGCCTCCTGAACAGATGTTGTAATTGCTGCATCATTAGGCTCTTTTTGCAGTAGAACTTTCACAAGTATATTTTACTGGAAATATAGACAGGGACCGTATTATAGTACAGCTGTTATTGCTGCATCATAAGGCTCTTTTTGCAGTGGAACTTTCACAAGTATATTTTATTGGAAATATAGACAGGGACCTTATTATAGTACAGCTGTTATTGCTGCATCATTCGGCTCTTTTTGCAGTGGAACTTTCACAAGTATATTTTATTGGAAATGTAGACAGGAACCGTATTATAGTACAGCTGTTATTGCTGCATCATTCGGCTCTTTTTGCAGTGGAACTTTCACAAGTATATTTTATTGGAAATATAGACAGGGACCGTATTATAGTACAGCTGTTATTGCTGCATCATTAGGCTCTTTTTGCAGTGGAACTTTCACAAGTATATTTTATTGGAAATATAGACAGGGACCGTATTATAGTACAGCTGTTATTGCTGCATCATTAGGCTCTTTTTGCAGTGGAACTTTCACAAGTATATTTTATTGGAAATATAGACAGGACCGTATTATAGTACAGCTGTTATTGCTGCATCATTAGGCTCTTTTTGCAGTAGAACTTTCACACGTATATTTTACTGGAAATATAGACAGGACCGTATTATAGTACAGCTGTTATTGCTGCATCATAAGGCTCTTTTTGCAGTAGAACTTTCACACGTATATTTTACTGGAAATATAGACAGGACCGTATTATAGTACAGCTGTTATTGCTGCATCATTCGGCTCTTTTTGCAGTGGAACTTTCACAAGTATATTTTATTGGAAATATAGACAGGGACCGTATTATAGTACAGCTGTTATTGCTGCATCATTAGGCTCTTTTTGCAGTGGAACTTTCACAAGTATATTTTATTGGAAATATAGACAGGACCGTATTATAGTACAGCTGTTATTGCTGCATCATTAGGCTCTTTTTGCAGTGGAACTTTCACAAGTATATTTTACTGGAAATATAGACAGGACCGTATTATAGTACAGCTGTTATTGCTGCATCATTCGGCTCTTTTTGCAGTGGAACTTTCACAAGTATATTTTATTGGAAATATAGACAGGGACCGTATTATAGTACAGCTGTTATTGCTGCATCATTAGGCTCTTTTTGCAGTGGAACTTTCACAAGTATATTTTATTGGAAATATAGACAGGACCGTATTATAGTACAGCTGTTATTGCTGCATCATTAGGCTCTTTTTGCAGTGGAACTTTCACAAGTATATTTTATTGGAAATATAGACAGGACCGTATTATAGTACAGCTGTTATTGCTGCATCATTCGGCTCTTTTTGCAGTGGAACTTTCACAAGTATATTTTATTGGAAATATAGACAGGGACCGTATTATAGTACAGCTGTTATTGCTGCATCATTAGGCTCTTTTTGCAGTGGAACTTTCACAAGTATATTTTATTGGAAATATAGACAGGACCGTATTATAGTACAGCTGTTATTGCTGCATCATTCGGCTCTTTTTGCAGTGGAACTTTCACAAGTATATTTTATTGGAAATATAGACAGGGACCGTATTATAGTACAGCTGTTATTGCTGCATCATTAGGCTCTTTTTGCAGTGGAACTTTCACAAGTATATTTTATTGGAAATATAGACAGGGACCGTATTATAGTACAGCTTTTATTGCTGCATCATTAGGCTCTTTTTGCAGTGGAACTTTCACAAGTATATTTTATTGGAAATATAGACAGGGACCGTATTATAGTACAGCTGTTATTGCTGCATCATTAGGCTCTTTTTGCAGTGGAACTTTCACAAGTATATTTTATTGGAAATATAGACAGGGACCTTATTATAGTACAGCTGTTATTGCTGCATCATTAGGCTCTTTTTGCAGTGGAACTTTCACAAGTATATTTTATTGGAAATATAGACGTGTATAATATACATTACAAATGGAAAAAGAAAAATTATTCATTGGCAAAGTGAAGGCCCTTACACCTGTTACGGAAGTCAAGGAATTCTTTGACACATACATCCCTGAAGAAAGCTTTGAGAAAAATGTTGCACTCCTGAAATCGGCAAAAATCAAAGCTGATACTCTCAAGTTAGCTTCTGAACTTCTCTCCAGTATGAATGCTGACTTCCCCCAACCTGCAAAGGAGATATCCGCGTCTAAGGCTACAACTAAAGAGGCTATCGCTAGAGATATCGTCCGATTCATCCATAGATGCCGGGAGATGACCTGTCTGAAGTGTAGCACTGATTATGTCCCATTTTCCTCTACCAACACCGGGAGTGTAGTCACGTGCCACTTTTGCCATACACCCAGTCATCTTGGGTGCTACACAGACTCGGAATTAGATCCCGAAGCCGGGGTAGTCTTTGTCTGTCCCCCCTGCTTAGGATCTCAAATCCCTCCAATACATGTTGCTCCTCCTCCAGAACCAGAACAGACAGCTGCCCCTAATTCTCCCGCAGCTGACCAACTTTCCTCTCAGTCTAACACGGAGGCGGTCCGTGAACCAGTGGTCGAACGCCACAAAAGTAATAAAACACTTCTATATGATCGCTCCAAGGCCGTGTGTCCCTTACTCCTCGAAGGGAACTGCCCCCACGGTATATCTGGGAAAGGCTGCGCCAACTACCATCCCCCATGGTGCTTCAAGTTCCAGAACAACGGCAGAGGTGGCGAACGGGGTTGCCACATTGCCGATGACAGATGCACATATTTCCACCCACAGCTGTGCCAGAACGCTGTGAAACAGGGTATCTGTCTTAACAAACCGTGCAAGAGGGTACATATCAGGGGTACCATCACCAACGAGAAAAACCTCAAGTACGCCAAGAGAGGACGCCAGACATCATCCTCATCCTCTTCCAAGCAAAACCGCCACCCTCCCAAATCTAACGAGAATAGAGAAAGATCCCAGACTAGGGACAACAGTGGATACAGTTCAGGTAGGAAAAGGACGGAGAGTAACTCCTCAACTTCATCCAACACTACCGGGGCGAACCGTAATCGGACAGTTAGCTTCAATGAAGCCCACGTTTCTGAACCCAGCCAGGATTTTCGGAATCACTACTCCTCGATGAAAGCGGACTTGACCAAAGACATTGCTGCAATGATCCAGTCTTCTCTCCGCGATCTCCTACGATCTCCACAGGTACTCCAGAACCTTCAGCACCAGGACCTGCTGTATCCCCCACAACCTTCAGCTTCCCTAAACCATCACCTCTCCTCCCAGCAGCGCCAGTATCACCCAACACCTCCTGTCCCAGACTACCTTCGATCAGGTCGCCACTCACGCCTGTGAAGAGTAATCTTCCGATCTCCAACGCATTCCTCCTTAACATTCAAGGAATGAATCCTGGCATCACCAACCAGCGATGGAAAGTGAAAGCCCTCCAAGAGTCTATCAGCTCCAACCCGATCCACACTCCTTTCTTCACCTTGACGGAAACCCACCTCAAGTCCTATCACTTAGATGCGGAGGTTCACATCCCAGGTTATACCTGCTACCGAGCGGATCGTACCAGTCGAGCTTGTGGTGGAGCCGCTACCTATCTCCATAACTCCATCACAGCAGAAGAAACAAAGTCCTTCTCAAACTCCTACTGTGAACTCGTCGCCATCTACAGTAAAGAAGCTAACATCGTGATAGCGGGCATTTACCGGCCCCCTTCAGCTCCTTTTGACAAGTTTGATGAATGCCTCTCTAC